AGCAGGATGAAGCATATAATGCTTATCCCAGTCGTCAGGGTGTGACTGCATCCACATAGTATGCCACGGCCAAGAAGTCCAGTCATCTGCCTCGCCAGTGGTGTTTGGCTGGTGGTTTATCGCATCGAGTATGTGCGGCAAGCAAGGCTGGTAAATATCGTGCAGGTACTCGAGGTTGGCCTCAACAGCCATGGGATTCACTCCGCACACAGTGCCCGTAATACTCTTTAAAGTATAGGTCCCGGAAGTGTAAGCGTTGCTTGCACTGATGCCACCATACGGCTTCGGAAGATCATCCCCATCCTTATGGAACCCGGTCCCAAACCCGGTCAAGCGCTCGGCGGTAGGGGTGAGCTTAGTGAGCCTCTCCTGGACGTCCTTGGGGATGCCGTCTGGGTAAGATTCATTGACGTGCTTCATGATGTAAGAGTTTGAGCGGAAGGGCCACACATCCTGTCGAGTGCTCTCTAGCTTAATGAGAATGACATGTTTAATCTTCACACTTCCGTTGTGGAGAAGTTCACGTATAGGCTCCAAAATATCGTTCTGGAGGTTTGGCGTGTGTAGAGGATCCTTCAACGGATTGTAGTGTTCATACACATAGTCGGCCTTGTTGTGTTTATTGATGCGGAAGGGAGACCAATCCGGGAAGCCATCTGACGAATTGTATGAAGGTAACCAGTCAAATGTGGGGAAGGAGTCCAGAGCAGTGTGGCCCTCCAGCCAGCTGAAATCGGCCGGTAACAAGGTGACATTTTCATAGGTGGCATTTCCATTAGCAGGAATTTTAGGGGCGCTTTCTGGAACACTTGCTGGGACTTTTTCTGGAGCCTTTCCTGCTGGGGTACTTTCTGGGGTATTTTCTGGGGCACTTGTAGGAGGGGCAATTGCAGGAGGGGCACTTCCATTCGCTGGCGTTGGAGTTTCATGAGCGGGCGAATATCTGTGGCTGCTGAACGGCGCAAGAGACAGGGAGCCAGAGAGATAGCCGTAGTCCGCACCGCGTGGACGAATGCAACTGAGGAGAACTAGGATTAAGCCGCACGATATGACGATCACGCGCTTCAGCAACGACCGCGTCGGCTTCTGCTCGGGTTGACGAGGTGCATCCAATTGTGATACGGAGTCGCTGTCGTTGTGACCCTCATCATAGTCATCGATTTCAATCTGCTGATAGGTCTCTGGATCGGACAATGGCTTTCGTGGAAGACACCGGCGGAAAGGGAATAGCAAAAACGAACCCCAAATCTCCAGGAAAGTTTCGGTGGCTTGGAAGAGATACGGCGTAGCGAAGTACGCAACGATCATAATCAACGTGTCGACGAAGATACCGACAGTCAACATGGACAGGACAGTCTGGGTAGCCGTATTGGGATTTTCCTCCTGGGAACTTTCCGACTTCCCCCAGTGAATCTCCGCACCTGTATGTACATAGAAGGAGATGTTGGCGGAAGTTACGGAGGAGATATATAGACTGAGATGCGATTAGCAATTGAATGTTGCTTACGAGTCCCGGACGACAGCTTACCTGAATAAAAGAGTTACAATTGCAGCTACGTTCTGCCAAACCCGCGATTCAAACGACCGGGTCAGGTAGCACGCGACCAGAATGAGCAGGATGTCCACCAGGAAGAAGGTGGGGCCCCACGGAATGAGTGATGGAACCGCGAGCGACGTGAGATGGACGCAGAGATGGAAGCATTTTGACAGGATGAGGGAGATGAAAGTAATTGAGAAGAAATATGTGCGAGACGCGTCCAGGTAGAGCTGGGGGGATCTGGCCACTTTGAGGGCGAAGATGGCCGAATCCTCGAGTTGCCGACGGAGCTGGGAGAGATCTCCGGGACGATTCCATGAAGATTTCATGCCAGCAACAGCACCCTCTGAAGGGAAGACAGGCTAGAAATTGAGGACGGATACATAAGCCGACAAGGAAGAGAGAGAGACAAGTTAAAAAAAAACTGGACACTGAAAATCCAGGGGTCCAACCATAGGGCGGGGCACGGGTTCATGCACTTTACGGAGCAACGCCCGGGCTCTTCCTGACGGTTCTTGGCGCAAATGTGACCACGTGCGGAATTACCGGGATAGGCAAGGGGGAGAGCAAACAGTGCAAATAGAACAAAGTCAGCAAACACTATCGACTGCACTTGTAATCTCGACCTCATTTTCAACTGGGAAATGTCCTAGGTCTAATTAAGTTACATGCAACTATTGTTGATTGGTGGTGAGGAGATTACATGTCTTGGTCTTATTTCGCTTAGCAGGGTCTAGACAGAATAGATGCTCCGTACAATCGAACACGTATGTTAGTTGTAGGGGCCAAAGCGAATGGCACGCTTACTGTCTCTGGCTAATTAAGGGGTGAGAACTAAGACAGAAAAGGAAAGCCGAAATCTGACAGGCTTACGGTACAACATATGTGACATTTCTGTTGTATGTCGCCACTTCTCTATGGTTGTAATCTAGGGGTTCCTTCCAAAGTTGGGATCATCCGGACGAACCTTCGAAGCTCTAACTACATGCAGTTAAGCTGTTTCAAACCAGGTTATGTCAGTCCAAATGAGGCGAGCTGATTGGCAACCCCCTCTTTCAGCCTTATTGGGCCGATCGACATTGAACTATGCTTGGCACACATAGAACCGGGGAATCAACAAAAAAGCCGATTCAATATATCTTCCATCAAGCCATCTTACAGAGATGTGGATCGCTCAATTGTTAACTGGATTTGGCGGATGCTTATGACTACGGTATTTCTGTGGAAATATATATGTACACTCATACCCGCCCAAGATTGAGTGACACTCTATATATAGTTCTAGACATCACGATGACATCACTAGAATACCACCAGAAGGAGGAACAGTCGGTGAGTTGTATTGCACTCGTTGACGTATCTTAGATCTCTTGCCTATGATACACTAAACCGAAGGTCACAGATGATGGTGTACTCGCTGGTACAATGCCCTAAACGAGCGGGTCAACTCCGCTCAGCGAAACCAGGGTCCAGGACCCAACCGAGATTGCGCTTTCATGCATATATGTATCTCCCTATAGTAGCGAGAAAGAGAAGTCAGCCGTCACATTGGAAGGCCCTTTTCTGTCTGATCCAGACAGCTAGCTGCACGTGGTACTTGCTGATATGATCCATATGTGATCGACCTTCATTATCTTCTTTGCCTGCTGAAATCGTATTGAGCAATCTCCACTACGATTTCAGGCTTCCTGTATTTACGAGTTGATTGGCTTAAATAGACTTGAGTCATTAGTGAAGGACGTGAAGGACATGTCGATGAGCTCTTCAGGTACAGGCCAGGTCGCTTTTCCCTACTTTTTCGGCCAAGTTGTGATATCATGTTAACAAGACTACCTAGGTAGGTACATATGAATGTATGTATGCATTCATCTAGATCATCGCAGGAAGAGTATCGCATTTGCATCATCATCAGAGTATCCCCCATCGACGTTAGAGACATCAACTGCCCTTCCCCTACCTAGACCATAGGTCCCGTGGCTGCACAGTACAAAGTCCGACCGCTTCTCTTCTTGAAAGCGTCCTTTCTCTCCACTTCTGAAACTTAGGAACATTAAAGTTCGGATACCGATCGTACATCTCATTGGGGACCTCTGCCAATTGATCCGCAAGATCAAAAGCAGTCTCCAACCGTCCATTCAGAAGCAGGGTGATGGTACCAATGCTCTCATATAGTGACCCATAATCTTCAACTCCGTAGCCCACTTTAGTTATAAATGCCAACCAAAGTCTCATTGCAGACAAAGGCCACTGTGGACGTGTTTTGTACTTCAGAACCTCATCCATCTGTTCATCGTCCCACCTGGGGTTGCCACAACGATTGGCCTCCCAATCTTCATAACTCATGTGACCAGGGGGAAATGATAGTTCCGTCTCCGCTGAGTGAAAGTCGAGGACGAGGGTTTCAGCGATGATTCCACGGTCATCTTTCCTACCCACTGGTCCATATGTCAAGAATCGGTCCAAGTAGCGGTAAAAACAGTGATTGAGAGAGAAGGTAGCGCTTTCAGAACAAAGCGCATCTTTACTGGTGACGATGCGTCCAAAGAAGCGCATGTCTATGTGCAGCGTAGAGAGACGGGTCGTAAGCCGTGGGACTGAAATCCAGGTTGAAAACATATACATTTCATTTAGAACCGAAAGGTCAAGAATGTAGGTGGTTTCCTTCATTCGATTGAGGACCTATTGGGTTTCCACCGAAACTTGACGATTTGTCAGGAGCAGAGAGAGACAGTTCGAGGGGAGATCCATCAAGGAAGGCATGATTGTTGATCGGGCCTCAAGATGTTTGAAGAAGTTGGCAAGTACTGAGTTTGGAAGCTGAATGGGTGCTATTTATGTCATTATATAAGCCTTTGTCTAGGTAACCTTTGTTTGCCAGTCGCTTTCAGGCAACGGGGCACTTTAGGAAGGCACGTGGGTTGGAGGTATAAAAGGGCCTCCTTCCCCCCAACTCTTCTTCTTCTCTTCTTCTCTCCTCCACACCTCTCTCAACCACCATCTCTCCGTAGCCCCATGAGACAGCGTCGGCAGAGGGTGCCGTAGCACATGCTGCTTCACCTACCACAGGGACCATGACATTACCATATGTATGAGGTCCATGTAGGTCTGCATCAAACATCAAACTGGGCTTTCTCGTGGACGTTCCTGAAGTCGTGGCTCTCATTGCCACTTGACGAGTCCCACGGAATACATGAGGGGTGTAAATCTCCATAGCCGAAGACTTGTAGGTTTGAGTCATATGCCTAGGCTAGAGTAACAAGCTGTCCCTTGATTCGAGCTAGAGGATGACATGGAGAAAAGCGAAAGCAACATCCAAAAACTTGAGAGCATGATGTCTTCCCTTCCAATCTCATGGTGACTGAAACTTCTTATTTGTTTATCCAACACCAAACACCGTTTGTACAGCAGAGTTCCAAAAGACAAACTTTATATTAATATTAAGCACCCGCCAAGGACGAGAAATCTACCTAACCAGCTCCCACTCAGCAACATAAGCCCAACCCATACCAACACGGCCAACCTTCTCCTGAAACTCCTGCGCCGTAACACCACTAGCATCCTTCCGATCCCCAAAGCTAGTCAACACAGCCAACTGCAGCTTCTGACCAGGTGCACCGAGCATACGCGCACTAGGAACATCCACATACCAGAACTCACCACCGCCCGCGGGTCCGGAGCCTGGTACATGCGTGAAAGGGAGTTTGTCGTCCTCGCGCCCGTCCACGCCATGAATCATAAGCAGGAACAAGCCCGCATGCTGGATGTGGCTGTGGCGAGCGAGGGTCCAGTGCGGACAGAGAAGACCGAACTGGAAGCGCATTGCGCCAGGCGTGCTGATGGAGATGTGCAGGCCTTGTGGGTGGAAGGTCTTCCGGCCAATGGTGCGCTTGTCGGCGTCGCTGTAGACCTGTAGGGCTTGGACGCCATTTGGTCGTTCCGGGTCTGTGAGAATATACTCTTCCCAGGTTATATCCGGGCGTCCGTCCTCGCGGAAAAACTGGCGTTTGTTTGATGGGAAGTGCTTTAGGCCGAACTCTTCGTTCGGCATTGTGAACATCGACGGTTCGAATCGTTGCTTGTATGGCTGCCCGGCGCCATCTATTGCTCCTGCACCCCAGCAGGAGTCGATTAGTTTCCATCGGCCTCCATCGATTTTGACGGCGTTCCAGGCGTGGTTGCCTTCGAATGGTGGCACCGGGGCCCCTGGAGCAAGTGCGTTGTGTCCGAAGCCTTTGCCGTGACCGCCGACTACGATTGCCTCTAGGCCGGCGTGGGTGGCTAATGCTGCAAATAGTCCCGCGTAGCCTTCGCAGACTGCCAGTCCAGATGCGAGGGTACTGGCTGGCGTGGAGGACTTCACGCAATTGTTAAAGAAGGCATAGGTATCGTAGGCAATGTTATGATGCAACCACGTAAATATCGCGCGTGCCTTATCTGTCAAGGATGGGAACGGCGCTGTCAGCTCATTGGCCAGCCACGTCATATCCTGCGTGGGAAGCGATGCACGAGGATACCGGGCCGCATGGTTATCAGGACCTGAGAAGTCCCGGCATACCATGCATTCCGTGTCTGAGGTGGGAGGTGGAGGGCTTGGAGACACAGCCGAGCCATTCAAACGTGGCTTTGAAGCCATAATTTTGGATAAATCCGGACGAGAGCCATGTGGAACCGGTGGTGGTGTTCCATTGGGGGCAGCTGTGCTGGATTTGGGATTACCAAACCCGAGCTGCCTAGGATCCTTTCTTTGCGCAGGCATTGGTGGAGGAGGCAATGTCTTCCGGATAGGTAGATTAACACTTGAGTCATCACCAGTTCCATTTGTGTCTGTGGGTACCGCGGATGGCCGACGTGATGGCAGTCGAGGCACCGGGGGTTGCTCATCCTCATAACGTGGAGGTGACTGGTTAGGATTTGGAGAGGAAGTAGGACGAGGAGGTTGAGTCGGCTGCGCAGGCTGACTTGGAATAGAGGGAACGGGCGGTTTGGACCCCGGTAGCGATATTTTGGAGGTCAGTCGAGCAGACAGGCTCCCAAAGCTCCTCTTACTACTAATCGTAGGCCGCGGGGCCGGTTCCAAGCTAACTTGCTCTTTTGGTCTGCGGGCAGGCAACGCAGGCAGCTCGGTCTCACCCCATGCGGGCGCCTTGATGCGATTGTTCCCAGTAGAGTTCACCGAAGTTGTCGATGTGCCTCGCCCCGTAGTTGTAGTTGTAGCTGTCGACGTTGTCGAATGTGACGCATCGGAAGTGGCTGACTCAAGGGATGGCCGGCGCTTTTGGTCCGTTGGCCTACGCGGTGGCAGCGGAGGACGGGCTGGTGTAGGGGGAGGCAGGCGATCTGACCTTCGCGTGGGCAATGGTGGGGGGGCTTTTGGCTTTGGTTTCACTTGAGGCCGGAGAGTTTCCATTGGAGGCGGTCGCAGGACCGGCCTCTGAGTTCTGTTATCTGCGGGTTCATTTCCGACAGATGTTCGATCCACGACAGAGCCGACTGCATCGTATGAGGGAGGGTTGTTGACGGACGCGCTCCGTTCGGTCGGGCGGAATGATGGTCCAGGTCCTCCCGGTGGGCGGGCCAGTTGCGACTGGTTAAGGGCGGCGATCCGTTGCTGGATAGAATTCAACTGAGGATCTTCGGCCATGGTGCCTGAGCATAATGATATTGAAGAGAAAGTTGAGACGTCCGCTCGAGCTTAGGTACCTCGTTCTTGGCTTGGCGGGGGCGAAAATAGCCTTGTCGGACTCTGAAACACGACTGCGAATTATTACTGACAAGGATAGTAGGCCGGTTATGCGGCTTGTCATGTCATTTCGTAGTCATTTCAATAGTCATTTCATAGGCTTCTTGGATTGTATTTTTAGATGTCTTCTTTAGGTATCTTCTCCCGCTTCTTAAGTTTTGGGTAGACGGCGGGAAAAGGCGGGGAAAGATTTAATTTGTGCAGATGAACTTCTTTGTATAACCTTAGATAATTTGATTCAACTAGAGTCCCCGAGAGAAACACGGCGAAAGACAATACAAGAAAGAAAGGAATTAAACAACAGGAGGCTCAACTAAAGAGGGGTCAGCCCTGGGGCCTACCCATGGGTCCGGATCTATATTTGGAAATTCAAGTTACGGATCTACAACATACACAGTAAAAACCCGATGAATTATAAGTTGCAAGCAGAAGATGTTTGAATTTATTTCCAGAATATCATGATTCGGAGTCCCAAACGCCTTGAACCGGTGAAGCCCTCAAAAAAATAAGGAAACTAGGTACGTGCAGATGGATGAAGGAAGAAGATGAAGCAAAGAAAATGACAAGGAGAAGGGTAGCAGTTAAAGAATAAGAAGCCTCGAGATCTCCAATTGACAGCATGCAACCCGCCAGAAGAACCCGAGGCCGTGATACAGACATAAGAAAAGTCACGTACATCGTTGGAGAAAAGAAAGGGAAATTCACAAAGTGGTAAAGCCGTGGGGGTAGAGGGCCAGCGTCGATCATCAGCAGCGTCACTTCGTCCCAATGTACATCATCGTCAGGGCAAACTTAGACATTCTTGTAGAGGAGCAGGGGCTCGCCAACATTCTCGATCTCCGGAATGGTACACTTTAGATCGAATGCCTTGGCTAGAACGATCTTGAAGATCTGCAGTGGGTCAGTATGTGTTCTATCAGACTTGGAATAAACCGAGCAACAGGGTGTGGACGGCTGCAACTTACCTTTTGCACATTGATGCTATGGCTGGTGCTGCTAAATATCAGACTAGCCTTCATAGCCTTGGCAAATCGCTTGGCCTGCAAATATGTTAGTAATCGCGGAAAAAAAAACGAGGATCACACGTACCTGGATAGATATCTCCTCCTGATCCTCACGGGGAAAGTTCACAAAGTGATCATACTTGGTGCCCACCAGGAAGGGGATGGCTGTCTTATTGAAGCCACGTCCCTGGCGATACCACTCCTTAATCGAATTCAATGTACTCTTGCGAGTGAGATCAAACATGAAAAGAATTGCAACAGCGTCATTGCAGACAAGCGGTAGCATATTAACGAACTCGCGCTGGCCACCAAGATCCCAAATCGAGAAGGTGATTTCAGTGTTTCGAATTGAGATTGTCTTTTCCATAAAGTTGACGCCTTCACAAGTCCTTGGTTAGTAAACAGAGCTACTGTAGAACAGAAATTCAACTTACCTAACGTCTGGATGTAATCCTCGTCCCAGCTGCCCTCGACGTACTTGACCATCAAACTAGTCTTTCCGATCTGCGCATCGCCCACCATACCAACCTTAATCACCACACTGTTCTTGTTAGCCTGCGAGGCTTGGCGCTGACCGGCGTCTTGGTGCTGCAGCTGGGAAACAGGGGCCCGTTCTGGACCACTAGAGAGTCCAGATCCTGGCCTGGAGTTGGGAACAGGTAGAGGGTGGTGGCTGAGCAATGGAGATGAGCCCTGGCGGGACTGATCAGTATCTTGGGCGGCGTATTCGGGAGCAGATTGATGAAAGTCGGTCGATCGGGAGTGGTAATGCGCCTTCGAATCGCTGTTATAGCCATTGTTGATGGCCGCACGGCTAATGGTGTGGTCGGAAGCCGGCTCTTCGGTATTGGCCGAGATAGGCGCAGGCTGTTCCAGAGGTTGGTCTAAAGGTTGTTCAAGGGGCTGTTCGGGCGCAAGCTCCTGGCCCTCCTGCGCCTGTTCTGTCTGATCCTCCGGAGCAATCTGCTCGGATTCCGCAACGACAGGAACAGCGGGCGCATCCACCCCAGGAGCACCAAGAGGGTCCAAATTAGGCTCCATGACGTTTCAAGATCGGTTTCGGTGTAGAATTCAGAGAAGCAACCTGCCAACAAGTTCTGACTGTCAGCATATACGCGCGGGGTGAAGAAGCTCAAGAGGGGACTAACCAATATCACAACGGGCTGAAATTCCAGCGCAATCTAACGAGATTGCATGTGTACTGCCTCAGGGGATTGATTTTGAGAAAATTGAAGAGGCCGAGCTGTGTTGGTTCTCGGGGGGGGGTCAGCGGACAAGGGTTGTCCCTGAGTAAACAGACCGAATTGGGAGGGGTGACGGAAATGCGAGTCAAAGCAAACAAACGCAGGAACCAGGCTGGAAATAAACGTCAAATATTTGACTCCTTCGAAACTGCGGGGCCTAGGCACTAAATAAGAACGTCAAGGCTCTCTCTGGTGTACCTTCAGCTCGAGGGTGGGCAACTGGGATCTTACGCTAGGCCACGATAGGTTTAGCGCCGCTCCCACGCTGTTGCCAAAATTTACGGGAAAAAAAAAGTTCTTATCGCACATCCCCCTCCTCGGTCTCGACACCCTTATAATTAACACTTTTTACGGGTTCAAGATGTCCAAGAGAAGCGCTGAAGCGGACGAGCACACTGCCGCCCTCAAGGCTGGCGAGCGGCCAATTGCAGATGCCCCAATGGACGAGGCGGGGGAGTTCGAAGACGAGTACGAGGATGAATTTGAGAGTGAAGATGAGATTCTAGAGGCCGGAGTGGATGGTCGCCCAGATGCTGAGCGCGAGGAGGAAGAGAAGGGTGCGCATTCTTCAATCCTCAGCCTGTTCAACTGAACTAACCTTGTTTAAATCTTATAGAAGCTATGGATGTCGACAAGGAGACTTTCATTCCTGGGCGAACAAAATTGGCTCCCGGAGAGACACTATCGCCCGATCCCTCCACTTACGATATGCTCCACACACTCAGCACACCATGGCCATGCCTTTCCTTCGATATTGTGCGCGATTCACTCGGTGATAACCGCAAGACCTACCCCGCTACTGTCTACGCTGTTACTGGTACACAAGCTGAGGGCTCGAAATCCAAGGAAAATGAACTCATGGTGCTCAAGATGAGCGGACTGAGCAAGATGGAGAGGGGAGGTGAGGATTCAGAAAGCGACTCGGACGACGACGACATGGGCGAGCCCATTCTGGAGAGCAAGTCGATCCCGCTTGGCTCAACGACGAACCGCATTCGTACCCACCAGACCCCCTCCCAGTCCGGTGATTACTCCAAGCCCCCGCAGACCCTTACCGCGACCTGGCTCGAGAACTCGCAAGTCGTCATTCACGATGTTACCGCCCACCTTTCTAGCTTCGATGTTCCCGGCACTATTCTTCCTCCTTCGGCATCTAAGCCTCTTTCCACCCTGCGCATGCACAAGACTGAAGGATATGCATTGGATTGGTCTCCGCTCCAGCCTCTTGGAAAGCTGTTGACCGGTGACAATAACGGATTGATCTATGCCACCACTCGCACAGAAGGTGGCGGCTGGGTTACCGACACCCGGCCGTTCACAGGCCATGCTTCCTCAATTGAGGAATTGCAGTGGTCTCCTAACGAGCGCAACGTGTTTGCATCCGCTAGCAGTGACGGTAGCGTAAAGGTTTGGGATGTGCGATCCAAGTCGCGCAAGCCCGCCGTGGACGTCCAGGTCTCCAAAACCGACGTGAACGTTATGAGCTGGTCTAACCAGGCCGCTCACCTTTTGGCCACTGGAGCCGACGATGGACAGTGGGCAGTCTGGGATTTGCGTCACTGGAAGCCCAATGCCGCGGCGCCTTCTGCCCAGATCACCTCTACCCCCGTTGCATCATTCGACTTCCACAAGGAGCCGATCACCACTATCGAATGGCACCCCTCAGACGACAGTGTGGTGGCCGTTGGCTCGGCAGACAACACTGTCACACTTTGGGATCTTGCTGTCGAGCTGGACGACGAAGAAAGCCGCCAGGCCAACATGGTGGACATTCCTTCGCAACTGCTGTTCGTGCACTATATGGAGTCTGTCAAGGAACTCCACTGGCAGGCACAGATGCCCGGTACGCTCATGGCGACCGGCAGCAGTGGATTCAGGTATGTTATATTCGTTATCATGCGGTTGAGCCAAGCTAACCAGTTCCTTTTAATAGTGTTTTCAAGACGATCAGTGTCTAGACGAAGAAAATGTATCTACGCTCCGACTAACTCGGGAATTTCATGTGCCATGTCTTGCTCATATACCATTCGAATTCTGTGGATTTTTTGCTCCTCAATATCATTATGCTCGGAGTTAGACCCTTTCCTTCAGATGGTCAGGGTGGTGAAGAAAAAGTTTTTGTCGTTATATCTGGCATAGTAAATAGACAGATCGCATTATCAATGAGGTTGATATACATTCTGCAGGGATGGTACTTGACAGTTGACAGCGGAATGATCCAGGCAACTCCGCCTCCTTTGACAGGGCAATTCTGCAATGCAAAGCATCAGCAGAGCATATGCAGCGGAAATACCCCTATCACTACTTCCACGGACTTATCCAAAGATGTGAACTCGCTATCCTCGCCTATTCAAAACATCAAACATACAAGACGTTGGCAGGGATAACCTGCACATGTGCAAAGTCACAGGATGGACCGTGTCAGATCGCCAATGCGCCATTAATTACTCCGTACAGACAGATACATATGCAGCCTATTACATGCGACGTGACCTAGTACATATCCGTAGCCTTTCGGCGCTGACTTGGCCTGGGGCCGAGTCGGGCGCGACGAATGGGCCAGTCGGCTCAATGATTCTCGACGTAGCTGAATATCTTTCTTTCTTTATATACGGAGTTTATATGGACATAAACCGATAACATTTGAAATACA